GAACTGTGTATGTACCCTGGTAGTGCATTTGGTTTGTTACTTAAATAGTGGTGAAGTTTTAGGTAAAGTAGAAATCTCTAAAGCACTTACTTTCATCATGGCACAGAAATAGACTTGACGTCAGAGAAAGCAAATGATACAGAGTTACGGAGATACATAGAAGACGTGAAAGTAACAAAAAGAAACACAGTATGAAGCTCAAAGGTAGCACAACACGGAAGATATCTGCAAGTAGTGCGTTGAAGGTGTGCATAATCTGGCTATATATAGATATCTAATTACAAATAAACATTCCTTTACCAAGTCTTTCGTCTTCAGCCAATACGATTGGTGTCGATACCATGGCCGGCTGCTTTCGAGCAAGGAGGCATAAGGCGCTTCTTGCAGGACTTTGACACCATCGCTGAGTTGGTGGGCATCAATTATCCGATGGCAAAGGTGATCGTGCCGGGTATGCTGCTGAGAGGTCGAGCAGAGATGACGTATGACAGTGTGGAGCGATCAGGTGAGAGGGAAACCTGGATGGTATTGGTTGGATGACTGGTGTCAGTGTTTTACAGCCCAACGGACAGGCAGCTGGTGATGAAGCGGTTGTGTACCGCGAAGCCAGCACCGGACGGAGACTCACTAGTTTTTGTAGTGAAACTGAAGAATCCACTACACCGTGTAATCCCTAAATTAAATAAAGAGTTAAAATCTCGGCTACTGACGTCCCAGTCCATCAAGGGTGTCCCAGACCACATTTCTCAGCAACTAAAACTGGTTAACGCTGCACAACTATTGGATATCGGTAAGCTGGTGAATGCGACCAAGCAGCTGCTGAGCACAACGGTAGCAGCAACAGAGCCACCAAAATTAAATGAATGGGAACAGAAGTTGAAGATTTGCAGCGTGAAGTAGTGGCACTACGAATGAATGCCAGGACATGTGAAAAAGCATGACACTGGAGGAGGCACTGCCCAGAAATAAAGAGAAAAGATTTTAGACAGTATAATGTATGGTCTTTCTCTTCTGTCAGATAAGTAGTGGAGGCTATTGAGAAGGGGGCGGTTTATTCTAAGCTGCTAGTTAATGGCCGAGAAGTAGAATATTTAATAGATGCAGGGGATGCAGTCTAACTGATAGACATGAATATCTGTCAGGATATCAGACTGTGTTCACTGACAGTTCAAACGGCAGATGGACAAGTATTAAGAATCGCCGGTACGTCAAAATGTAGCGTTTTTATTGGCGGTTGCGAAGTTATTTCCCCGTTCATTGTTGTTCCCGAGCTACGGTGAACAATACTTGGCGCTGATTTTCCATGAGAACTTGGTGTGGTAATTAACACGGAAGAGAGGGCAGTTATAACGAAGTCCGGACCTGTCATAATGTATGAAACAAGCAAGATAGCAGGCGTTACGGCATCTGAAGCACAAAATATGACTGTTAATTAAAGAATATGATCATCTGTTTGCTGGAGATGTCATTTGGAAGGCGAAGTCGAGAGACAAGTGTAGGAGGTGTTACAGGATGATACTATTGACGAAGCTGACAGCCCAAATAACTCTCCAGTTCTTGTAGTGAAGAAAAAACGGGAGCGTCAGATTATGCGTTGATTTCCAACAAATGAACGGCATGACAGAGCTCAGACCATGTTCCATGTTTGACTGTAACAGACACCCTGAACAGTCTACAAAGCGCGAAGTTGTTTACAGTGCTCCACCTCTGGTCAGAATATTGGAAGATACCGATAAAACAGAGTGACAGGAATAAGACGGAGTTCATCGTGGGACAGAAGCAGTATAGGTCTAAACGCATGTAATTTGGAATAGCAGGTGCAACGTTTACCTTCAAAGGACTGGTAACGCTGTTACTTAAACCTGAAGAATGTGGAGTTGTACGATGATGATATCGTCATTTGCATTCAAAATGAAAGCGACCATGTGAACCAGGCTTAGTATTTTTCACCAACTATAAATTCATTCAGTAAATAACAGCATTTTCTTGAACTTTCAAACTACGTGCCATCTTGACTGGTTCAATCATAAGTAGTCTGTCGTTTTAAATAGAATACGAATTAACTTGGAAGCTACTTCAACACTACGCAATGCCGCAAAATTTTATAAATCCTCTTCAGTATCTATATGGTAAAGCTACATGCCAAACAACCTAGAGTGGGAGACTCACTGAGGCCTTTGAAGTGTAGACAGGAGTTAGACAATTGCCATCTATTAACGACGATCTTCTTGGCCACAGTAGACTGGATCATGCGACAGACAGTGAAGAGCGAGGAACACACTGTATGTAATGGTAAATTATGCCAAACAGACAACAAAGAATATATTGCCCAACAGATGTGAATAGAGAAACTTCGCATGCATGTCATCGTGCATCGTCTGTCATCCTACGAAAATACCAAGAAGAACAGACACTAACTTTTTAATGAGATCACCCGACTGTGTTATGGATCATAGAGATGAAGGCAGTCAAGCCTGGTTTGGATGAATCTAATAGTGATTCAAAGCCTAACAGTCATGGAAAACTCTAAAACAGTACTGGTGTGTGGCAAAGTTGGCTGAACAAAGAAACTACTGTTATTTTGTTTTGAATTTTTTTAGTGACTGAATGACTCATCGATTTTCAAATTCTAAGGGGAATCGTCGTTTTGTTTACAGGAGAATCGCTTTCATACATTGTTACGCAACTGTGGACAAACCTACACTTTCATTTCCCACAACAAAAGTATTAAAAACAAGCCTTTTTGTAAGTAGTTTGATCGCAGTCTTGAGGATAACGGATGAGGCTGAACAACAACACTTCACTAAATTAACAGGGTGAATAAATTACTTTTCATTAATACGAACTATTACCAAAATAAATATCTAATTATCATAAGACTTTCTGAGTTTTTAGTTGCTTCACGAAATATGAAATTTACTAATACAGATATGATCAGAAATGCCTGTTATGCTATTTAAAGTGTATGTATTAATATATGGTTACAATGACTTCAGATTGTGTTCTAACTGGTGTTTGCCGGTTGAAACAACTAGTTTTGTGTTAGTATATGTGTAAAAATTGGGCACTGTAGTAGTAAGTGATTCCATATTAGTTTGTTTATTAGATGCACCACACAGTGAAACAGTATTATTTACTGGATGACAAGGTTTCGAACAAAATTTATTGTTCATAATCATATCGATAATAATCACACGACTTTGAAACTTGAGTGTCATGGTTTTCTTTGCTCTCTCCTATTTGTCGTAGTAGAATTTTCCAGATATCTGAGACAGGTGTTGAATCATTCCTATTACACGTATTTGCAGTTGATTTGATAGACAAAGCTTCTGTTATCAATCTCTACCTCCACCCTGTTACATTAAATTTTAAAACTGTCATCTCATCCCATCCTATCGCATAGTTGTGTGTAATTGCATGTAGTGAGTTCTATAGTTGAACCATTCTCCAGATTTCTTATCTTATTCGGGTCAACCAATCTAGATTTTGCTATGTTTTATGTTCGGCTAGTCTGACCACACCTGTTCTACTAGTGTGACCTATGTATTTAACCTGACAATCATTCCAGCAGGGTATTAGATAAACTAAATCATTTTCTTTGAAAGGCTCCACAGGATCCTTTAACCAACAACGCTTGTTTCTAATTGGGTTTGTGGGTTTGAATGCCAGCCACTTTTATTCCTGCCTTGTTAAGAATTCTGCGTAAGGTTTCCGAGGTTCCTTCTTTGTATGGAATTACTGTTAATGATTTAGATTCCTTATCGTAGGTGTTGTCATTATTCTGTGTCATGAATACTACTATTATGGTTATTATTATTATCATCACTATCATTATTTATTTTATTTTTACATTTCCCTACACACTATCTGACTTATTTATCCAGTAAGGAATACTGTTTCCCTGTGTGATATATCTAATAAATAAACTAATATGGAACTAGTTTTGTACTCATTTTACACTGATCAAGATGAAGTAAATCGATGCGAAAAGTAACCTGTAATTTATTTATTTATTATTAGTAATCTTTATCATCAAGTTTTGAGGCACCACTCACAAGACATAGTCATAAAGAGGATATAACAACGTATATGTGTTTAGACATATTCAAATAAAACCCCACCTTCAGTACATTTTACTAAACCCCTTAAATGTCACACTAACGGGTAAAGTAGTGTTTTCATGTAAGTAAGCACGATTATCCTTGAAGCAACTGGTTTACACCGAAATCCCACAGTTTGTAAACTTACCTAGTTAGTTTCGTTAAAGAATTATTCTTTCAGTCTGCAAATTCGACTCACGTACACTCTACTTCTACCCTACACTTTACTTCGCTTGAATCATTGAATATTATTTCAGATCAAATATAACACTTTAAATCAAACTTTTTAAATACTTAAATTCTATAGATGAATTCTAATAAACAAAATCTTTCATGATTATTGAATTTTATGGATGTGACAAAATGTTTATTCTTTTGTGTGCCATTAGATTGGAATACCCCACAGAAATCAACCAGCAAATAAAAGAGGATACAGTTTGAATTACCCTATAAAATACTTGACCTCCTGATTTATTTTTTCATAGATAGCTAAACTTTTGAAATGTTCCTAGCTGTCCAAGTTCTTTACTGCCGAAAAGATGTCAAAGCAATGACGAATAAAGTAAATAATGGGAACCAATGATTGTAAACTTCCAGTTTATGTTCGGATTTCTTAGAATTAATCTCGTGATATTATTTCGGTTGATCAACTTGACCTACTCATGAGTAACCAGGTTATATAAGCTTATTCGATGAAATAACATTACTAGATCACCTGTTTAATAATTTCACAAGATTAAAAACAAATACAACAGTATCGGTTCACTTTTATCGCTACCCCTGTCACATTTTACTTACCATTTAAAATAAATAGTCAAATTTAATCATTTAGTCATTCTACGCGGAATGAATACCCAATTATTGTTCGATTATATGTCAACTGAATAAAAGAATAATTTGTAAGACAGAAAAAAAAACATTAATTTATTGAACTTCCATGTCCATGAATACTTCTGAAAATTAATTAGAATATATTAATGTTTGTCACAATACACATTTGTTCCATACAACAAAATATGCAGTTAATGGGCAACAGAATAGGTGGGGAAAACTTAGTCACGTATAAATTTGGTAAAAAATTACCTATTAGGATAAATTATGGATCACTGAATTTTTTCATGTGCTCTTTTTCTTGTAGTAAATGAAGAGTTTGCATAATGAGGTCATTAATTTCTTGTCTACCAATCTTGCCATCTTTATTAACATCCCATTGTTTCAAAATAGCCTCTTTCATGACACATAAGCCTTCTTCATTCGCTTCTTCCCCATTCGCTTCTAGTAAATCTTTTAAAAACCCCATCAGTTCTTCGTTTTCCAGCACACCATTTCCATCTGTATCATATTTACGGAATATTCTATCGATCGTCCTTTCATCTAAGCCTCTGTCATTTTTAAATAATGGTTTTATTAGATAATTCTCCTTAACGCGTAATAATCTTGCCATTTCACTCAATTGTAACTTGCCGTCTCCATCACGATCAAAAAGATTGATGAGTGTCTGTGTATATTCACTCAACTTCTCATCGGATAATTCAACTTTTGAATTAGTTGTTAAGTGTTTTAAGAATTGTTTTAATTCATTTGCATCAATTGACCCACTTAAATCTGTATCGAATTGCTTCCAAACACGCATAAACTCCACACTAGAGGATAAAGGAGTGTCTATTTGAAATAGGGCTAGAAATGTTTCCTCAGTAGGTAATATTTGACACAATTCAGTTATATCAATACGTCCATCTCCATTTTCATCATATGCATCCATAACTTCAGTCATTAACTGTTGCATTGCTGTTTCAGAGACAATTTCACTTCCGATTTCACCAGGTACAACACTAGTAATGAATTCACGCAGGAATCCATCTAATTCCTTGCCTTCCAAATATCCGTTCCCATCTTTATCATAATGCTGCCAACACTTAAGGAAGTCTAGTGCAGTGACTGAATGAAAACGGTGCGTCTGAGGATCACGGAATTTTGATAAGAAATTTTCCGCATTCTCTTTACCAGTATTATCCGTCATAGTTGTGGGTAAGCGTATTAATGTAAGAGATTTATTCAATGCAATGCAGATCAAGTCAAATTTATACAATTCAGATTATAAATTATTATGTTTATATACTGGTAGGAAAATAGGCACAGGGAGAGAGAGAGAACAGTGTAAGGTTTATTTTTAATTGATTGTCCTACTTAAATTATGCATTACACAACAAACAACAGAACACAACAAAGTTCTGCTTAAGACTAGCTCATATAAAACAGGTGGGTGTGTGGTAATGTTTATTTGTGAATATATTTATATTGGGTGGAAAATTAAGCCAAACAAACAACTATTTTAGCACTTTCAATAAGTTAAAATGTAAGCCTTTTTAAAGCATAACTGACATGCAAAACATTTACTTTAAAAATGAATACGTTTTACAATCATGTTTTATCATTATCCGTATTTTAATATTATTGTTCTACACGAAACTATCTCAGTGATTATACCCATCTGATTGAAAACAAATGTTGTTTAACTACATATGGACAATCAGGAAAAGGTATTTCTGGTTAATAATAATTGTTATATGAAGATAACAGACTTTCTGAGAAATGTTACTTCTCATTATCATCGGTAAAACGTGATAATTCATTTCCCTCATTTTTCTTTAACTAAGTACTTTCTTTTTTCATACAGGAAATGTATTTGATAAAATCTCAGTCTTATACAGTAAATAATACTACATAACTGTGTGAGACTTTATCAAATAAATATTCTCTGTGATGGAATAAACTCTATCACAGTGACTAACTTCTATACTTATATTTTCTTCTTCCTGAACGTCAGCTCCTACGCTAATGAGTTGGAAGGACCAGAGTAGTTTGATTGCACAAGTGAGTCATATCGGTCCAAGAGTATTCAAAGAGAGGTTTTACCGTAATGAAAGTATTAACTGGAATGTCTCCTGACTAAAAGCACTCAATGTTACAGTGCAAATAATCCATGTGAGAGCATACTATGATGATATATGCATACTGCTTAGTGGGAAATTAGTTGCATGACTCATCGTATTTCTATTTATCTGCAAAATAACAAGATACCTTAATATATGTGTGAAATTTAAAATTAAATTCCAATAGAAAATATTCAAACAAACTGAGGGAGTTGCCATGGGATCACGAATATCCCCGGTTGTAGCAGATATATTCATGGATAGGTGGGAAAGCATAGCGATTGAAACGTTCACTCCCACCCCAAAAGTATGGTGGAGGTATGTAGATGACACATTCACTGTACTCAGAACACAAGATATAGATAGATTTTCCGAACACATCAACTCAAAGGTAGAGGCAATTCAATTCACTTATGAATTGGAAAGTCAGGAAGGGGAGCTTCCAATGTTAGATTGCAACGTAAAAAGGAAAGAAGATGGGAAGTTAAACACTAGTGTTTACAGAAAACCCACACATTCAAACAGATATTTGGATTTCCGATCATCCCATCCTATGTCAGTGAAAATAGGATTGGTGAAATGTTTAAGTGACAGAGCACAAAAACTAAGTAGTACTAAGGAAAATCTAAGACAAGAAGTGATACACAAAAAAGAAGCCTTAAAACTTAATAATTATCCGGATAGATTAGTCAGGAAATATGTAAGGAAATCTAAAAATAAAATAAATAATGATAGTAGCGATGGTGATGATAATAATAACAGTAATGATAACACTAATAATGATAGTATTAATAATAGTGATAATAATAATATTAGTGACGACATCAACAATAAGGAATCTAAATCAAATGAACTGTAGTCAAGATTTGACAGAATAGTTCTATAATATTTGGGCGCCGAGTGAGAAGTAGACATTTGTAAAAAATTATATTTGTAAAATCTCAGCGATATTGAAATGAGTAATTCCAACGTTTCGTTCGGCAATCTGGTCCGAACTTCTTCAAAACTCGTACAATTTTGTTTATTATACATGTTAATATTTGTTTTATAAATCATGATTGGACAAAGTTTTTAAAAACTAAAGATGTTCCTTTTATATATAAACCTGTTATGTTAATTTCGATTAATTTCCCTGATGAAGTTCGGACCAGATTGCCGAACGAAACGTTGGAATTACTCATTTCAATATCGCTGAGATTTTACAAATATAATTTTTTACAAAGGAATCTAAATCATTAACAGTAATTCCATACAAAGAAGGAACCTCGGAAACCTTACGCAGAATTCTTAACAAGGCAGGAATAAAAGTGGCTGGCATTCAAACCCACAAACCCAATTAGAAACAAGCGTTGTTGGTTAAAGGATCCTGTGGAGCCTTTAAAAGAAAATGATTTAGTTTATCTAATACCCTGCTGGAATGATTGTCAGGTTAAATACATAGGTCACATTAGTAGAACAGGTGTGGTCAGACTAGCCGAACATAAAACATAGCAAAATCTAGATTGGTTGACCCGAATAAGATAAGAAATCTGGAGAATGGTTCAACTATAGAACTCACTACATGCAATTACACACAACTATGCGATAGGATGGGATGAGATGACAGTTTTAAAATTTAATGTAACAGGGTGGAGGTAGAGATTGATAACAGAAGCTTTGTCTATCAAATCAACTGCAAATACGTGTAATAGGAATGATTCAACACCTGTCTCAGATATCTGGAAAATTCTACTACGACAAATAGGAGAGAGCAAAGAAAACCATGACATCAGTTAGAGAACCACTGGAAAACCTGGGAGTACTGGACAGCTGTTTCGTCCTGGTTTGGGACTCTTCAGCAGTACGCACCCACCGGGGTTCGAACCCAGGACCTTCTGGTTACAAGGCGAGCTCGTAGACCATTGAGCCACTGGGACCCGATCCAATGGTCCTTGAATTCTAACTTCTGCCAATTCACGACATAGCGCGACCACTTCGCAATGTCTTCTTCGACGAGTTACTGCCTCACCTTCGACCTGCTGTACCCTACTGATCACGGCTTCCCACTAGAACCCCAGGTTAACTGCCTGAATAGGGCCAGTCGCTAGTGAGCATCAGATTAATTTTCAAGTGTTGATTTCGTAGGGATTTGGGTTCTAGTGGGAAGCCGTGACCAGTAGGGTACAGCAGGTCGAAGGTGAAGCAGTAACTCGTCGAAGAAGACATTGCGAAGTGGTCGCGCTATGTCGTGAATTGGCAGAAGTTAGAATTCAAGGACCATTGGATCGGGTCCCAGTGGCTCAATGGTCTACGAGGTCGCTTGCCTTGTAACCAGAAGGTCCTGGGTTCGAACCCCGGTGGGTGCGTACTGCTGAGGAGTCCCAAACCAGGACGAAACAGCTGTCCAGTACTCCCAGGTTTTCCAGTGGTTCTCTAACTGATGTCAGCTCATGATTAAATCCTCCATACAATCAAACCAAATCCCTACAAAATCAACACTTGAAAACCATGACACTCAAGTTTCAAAGTCGTGTGATTATTATCGATATGATTATGAACAATAAATTTTGTTCGAAACCTTGTCATCCAGTAAATAATACTGTTTCACTGTGTGGTGCATCTAATAAACAAACTAATATGGAACATGATACCTTCTCGAATCTATAATGATCAGAATTTTGTTGATCTATTCATCATCTTACAGTGTTAATAGTTGAAGATATCACTGGGATCACGTGTTGAAAAGTATTTCAGCACAGTTGATAGCCATAGATTGAGGGTTAAGAAAAGTTACTATTTTTACCATATGTTTGGAGGATGAGTGATCATCCAACTGCTACATTGTTACGTAGACAGAACTGAGCGTGAGACTAACTCCAATAAGATTTATGATATAAATAACGAAACAAAATATCTGCTTTATGACAAAAAAGGTTTAGAACAAACTAATATACGAGACTGCTTTTTCTGTTCTTTATTCTTCTGTTATGGACTGCTAGGCTTCTAGAGCGAAGAACTTTTCAAAATGTAGTTGATCAGCAGCGTCAAGTAAGTGTTTCTGCAGCTTTTCGAATCAACGCAATAAAATGCCTGCTTTCAGTGAGTTGATACGGTGGAGGTATCGATATAAACCGCATGGCTTACCCTGTACAAAACCTTTTTATTCTGCTATGAATGTCTTCGTGTTTCAATCATTGTCCTGTCACTGTTGTTATCTCAAGCAGTTAAAAGCGTCATTGTTATATCGGTTTATTTATGTTCCCACTTTCTTACCACAACTAAAACAATGTAACGGCAATGTCATCAATATGTCAAAATTTTAAATGTCCAGTCTCTATTTCAGATCATTAGTCTCCACAAGCCGTGTATAGACGATACAAAAAGGATTGTCCACTAACACCAACCTGATAATTTTTTCGCTACTGTAAGATTTCGTTTCAAGGTATTAGGTAGTTTTATAAACAGATTTCATTTGCTTATAAGTGAACGTTAGAAAGAAGAGAACACGAAGTTCAGCAAAGATATCTTTTCGGCGATTTCATTCTCAAAAGCTGTACAATCGCATTTATATAGATTATTTTAACATGGATAGAATTATTATTTGTTTAATTTCACATAGTAACGAAGGTGATAATAATTTTCAACTTGATATGATAGTTTGAAGGTACGAATACAGATTACAAGAGGCTTAGAGACAAGATTTCATAGGATTAGAAAATAGTTACAACGTATGCAAAAAATTAATATTTGATAACTGGGGAAATAATTTTAAAGGCGAATCGAAGGTGATAATTATTTTCGACTTGATATGAATTACAAGAGGTTTAGAAACGCAGGGATAGGACGAACTACAGGTGTGAACAAAATGAGCATGGAAACAGATTGAAATCAAAATTTTCAACTTGACATGTTAGTTAGGAGGTATGAATATAGATTACAAGAGGCATAGAAACAAAAAATTACACAGGATTAGAATATAATTGTAGAATGGTTATTTTAAACGGATTACAAGTGTGATCAGAAGGAGCATGGAAACAAAATTAAAATAACTAGTTTTTTTAACTGAAAAAATAATTTGAGCCTGAAATGAAAGTTAGGACGTGTGAATATAGATTACAAAAGCCTTAGAAACACAAAAATTGCACAATATTAAGATATAATTGTAAAATAGATATCCTGATATCCTGAAGAGGAGAATATCCAGCTCTTTAAAGAAGACCTTCCCTGCAGCAACACTAAGAGTGACATTCTCTAGCCGCCCAATACTTCGAAACAACACGAAGGACAAACTTTCGCATATGACCAATTCAATGTGCATATACCAGTTCACTTGCTCGTGCGGAGCTAGGTACATAGGTCGTTGTATGCGCGTCCTCTCAAAACGTGTTAGAGAACACTACCCAGCGTGGCTGCAAAGAGGAGGCACCGGTTCAATCAGAAGTGCCATTATTGAACATCTGGTCAACACCTCCCACAAAATCTCAACCGATTCTTTCAAAGTGATTTACAAAGTCAACAGAAACCTACCAAAAGCAATATGTTTCCGACTTCTTTGTACTGCAGAAGCCCTCGCAATATGCATCGAGAAGCCGGAGCTGTGTGTTCAAAAGAAGTTAGTCCAACCTCTACAACTACCATGGACCTAGCTTGGTATGTTCCCTTTGAGATTTTGTGGGAGGTGTTGACCAGATGTTCAATAATGGCACTTCTGATTGAACCGGTGCCTCCTCTTTGCAGCCACGCTGGGTAGTGTTCTCTAACACGTTTTGAGAGGACGCGCATACAACGACCTATGTACCTAGCTCCGCACGAGCAAGTGAACTGGTATATGCACATTGAATTGGTCATATGCGAAAGTTTGTCCTTCGTGTTGTTTCGAAGTATTGGGCGGCTAGAGAATGTCACTCTTAGTGTTGCTGCAGGGAAGGTCTTCTTTAAAGAGCTGGATATTCTCCTCTTCAGGATATCAGGATATCTATTTTACAATTATATCTTAATATTGTGCAATTTTTGTGTTTCTAAGGCTTTTGTAATCTATATTCACACGTCCTAACTTTCATTTCAGGCTCAAATTATTTTTTCAGTTAAAAAAACTAGTTATTTTAATTTTGTTTCCATGCTCCTTCTGATCACACTTGTAATCCGTTTAAAATAACCATTCTACAATTATATTCTAATCCTGTGTAATTTTTTGTTTCTATGCCTCTTGTAATCTATATTCATACCTCCTAACTAACATGTCAAGTTGAAAATTTTGATTTCAATCTGTTTCCATGCTCATTTTGTTCACACCTGTAGTTCGTCCTATCCCTGCGTTTCTAAACCTCTTGTAATTCATATCAAGTCGAAAATAATTATCACCTTCGATTCGCCTTTAAAATTATTTCCCCAGTTATCAAATATTAATTTTTTGCATACGTTGTAACTATTTTCTAATCCTATGAAATCTTGTCTCTAAGCCTCTTGTAATCTGTATTCGTACCTTCAAACTATCATATCAAGTTGAAAATTATTATCACCTTCGTTACTATGTGAAATTAAACAAATAATAATTCTATCCATGTTAAAATAATCTATATAAATGCGATTGTACAGCTTTTGAGAATGAAATCGCCGAAAAGATATCTTTGCTGAACTTCGTGTTCTCTTTTTTCTAATGTCCATATAAGTGAACGAACAGCACTATGTGCTACAGCAGATATCTATCTCCCACTTATGCCTAACTTGATGATCACTTATACCCAGTTCACTTGCGGTTATTTTGCGACAGTCCTAGTGACTTATGTGTGCTGTCTCCAAACACACAATCTATGCAGTTTAAGCTTTATGGAGCATAATTATACAATTTACGGCAGCCTGTAAACGGACGTAGGTCATTTGATTAGCCGATAGATATTGGCATTATTTATTGAAAAAACGTCAAGGTTAGGTCATTTTTCGTTGTTTTTCGCACTTTTTTACTTATATTCTTGCTAAAAGTTGATGAAATGCGGCCTACTTAGCAGAAAGAGCATGTGGTGGTGTTCTTATCCGGACGTAGGTTACAGGCAGTTTACAGCTTGTTGAAAAAAACGTACTTTTCCGTTCAGAAAATGTCGAAATACTTAAAGACACATGTTATAACGACTTTTTGTGATTTTTCTTTGTAGTTTAGTGGATTGCACATGGACATGATGAAGTGGGATGGCTCGTTTCGGTAATTATTTCATTTACTTTGTTGTGTACTTTGCCTAAATGCTGACAAGGCTCCTCCACGTGTATTTCTTTAAGAAAAATCTGCAGAAATACTTAAAATTTATATATGCATAGTATTTCCTTATTTTATGGCATAAACTTGATGTTAGCAGGCAGATGTAATATCGACTTTGTATTATTGAAAAATGTTGATTGACGTAATTATGTACAATTCAACTATTTGTTTCGTCATTTTAAACATTTAACGGTTAATTTTTGTGTTTACACTGGTAACAATGTCTACATCTGTATAATTCTTATGTTCTTTTTCAGATAATATCTACTTTCGGGAATTACGTGGATTTGGGTGATAAAGAAAAAGATACCTGCACTGTTGTCGATTTTCTATTACATATTTATTCATTAATAAATGTATTCCTCGTTATTCGTTTGTTTATTCTACTTGATAAGACCGAATATTAGCCCTTGCGTAATTTGTGAGGTGTAGAGTATATGAGGCTTTCTTTGGAATACTAAGTAGGAGCAGATATTTGGAGAAGCCTATTGGTAAAAGATTATGTTGTAGTCAAATAAAGTAAATATGTCTAAATTGTAGGGGAGGTGTTGCGATTATAAAGTGTTTCGAGTTATCTATCGTGTTAGTAGAATACATATACTAATTCGCGATTCATAGTCACAAAGTGAAAATAAATCTACCTGGGATAGTTTGCTTGTGATTTCTGCATGTCGCAATGTACCATAAGGAGAGACTATATATATATATATATATATATATATATAGGTATACCTATGCTGTTAGATGTATAACTCAGTGCAGCTACGGTTATCGTAATAATTAAAAACAGAATGCCTAGGGTTCTCAGCCACAGGACACGATAAGTTGCTATCTACTCATATAATCGCGTAAACAAAAGTTTTCCAGACGCCGCATTTACTCCTAACAGTTTACCCTCAACTCCTAACTTAGCACGTGTTACTTATGTTACCGGAACACAATCGCATTACAACAGAAGGAATACAGATTCATTGAAAAATTGTTTATTAAACAAAAATCAGATTTCAAATGTACAGATAATTCAGATGAATAGTCCTCTATTACCTCCAGTAAGTTCCATCTGCGTACACTTGTACGCGTATGTCTTTCCATAAGTCTAAAGAGGTTTAAGAAAAGCATAATTAACTTGGGTATTACATGTATGATCTGAACAAAAAATTTCCTGATATGCATTTACAAGTGATCACTTTACGAACAATATATATATATATATATAACCAGTTTTCACTAAACTTAAGGGACTTCATAATTTATCGTTGGTCAATATCTAGTAGGTCCATCAAAGCATCATGAAAAGATAAAATTATTTAACGACAAGTTATGCAGTACTTTCCAAAGCTTATACAAATATTTTAGCAAAAGCGACAATGACTTTATGACAAATAATAGGTCTTGACAGCAATAATAATGACATTCATGATCGTCCTCGTGTGATAATCATAGGGGGATCAGCCTAACGAACATAGTCTCTAAAATCCTAGGCTCAGTAATCATGCATAGACTAAGCAGAACTCGGGAGGAACAGACAAGGGAAAATCAAGCAGGCTTTAGACCAGGTAGAGGGTGCATAGATCATATCTTCACTCTTCGACAGATTCTAGAACATAGACACACTTTTCGGCGTCCAACAATTGTCATATTTCTTGACTTGAAGGCGGCCTTCGACTCCGTGGACCGAAAAGTACTATGGCAATGTCTGACTGTGAAGGGAGTGCCAAGAAAGTACATTGCACTAATCAAGGCACTCTATTCAAACTCACGTAGTCGTGTAAGGGCTTATGGGGAATTGTCATCTGAATTAGTAACAACCAGTGGTGTCCGACAGGGATGTCCACTTTCCCCATTTCTGTTTAACTTCATCATAGATATGCTAATGGAAGTATCCTTAGCTGAACGTAGTGACTTAGGAATCGACTTGTTACCAGGGAATAATCTAATGGACTTAGAATATGCAGATGACATAGTCCTGTTAGGGGAGGATGCTGACAAAATGCAGAGTCTTCTGAACACCTTGAGCAGCAATCTTCGTATGTTTGGCATGCGATTCGCCCCTGTAAAATGTAAGATGCTGCTACAGGACTGGACCACGTCAACCCCTAACTTAGTGATAGGGAGTGAAGTGATAGAACATGTTGACCACTTCACCTACTTGGGAAGTTGTATTAGCACCAACGGACTGATTGGCGATGAAATCTCAGCACGGATCCGAAAAGCTCGAGCTGCTTTCGCTGACTTACACCATCTCTGGCGTAGGCGTGACATCCGGTTATCAACCAAGGGACGTGTGTACTGCTCATCAGTTCGCTCCGTCCTTCTCTATGGCTCTGAAACATGGCCAATACGCGTTGAAGACATGAAAAGGTTGACTGCTTTCGATCATAGATGTCTGCGATCTCTGTCTCACGTTAGGTGGTTTCACAAGATAAGTAATGTTGACGTTAGGCGCAGAGTGTTGGGCAAACAGGGAAAATCAATCGACGAGGTTATAAAGTTACATAGACTAAGATGGCTAGGTCACGTGGTGCGCATACCTAACCACCGCCTCCCCCGACGGGCATTGTTAGCTGATATAGGTTCAGGTTGGAAAAGAGCCAGTGGTGGCCAAACAAAAACATGGCATCAATCCATGAAATCCTTGACAGTTAAACTGAGTCAGGTAGGGAGATGCAGACTCCCGGGTTGGGGCCCTCGGGACTCTAGGAATCAATGGCTGGAGACAATAGGTGACATGGCTCAAAATCGTTGTCAATGGCGCAGATGTATTCAATCTCTGTAATCTTTCATATTTCTTTCTACCATTACCCATTCTGTTTCGCTCTTATACTTGTCAGACTGTATTGATTCTCTTCACTCATCTTCTTGTCTACCTCTGTGTGCTATTTGGAACGTGGCAACTCGAACTGCTGCACTTCGGTGCCAAGTTCTATGTTGAATCCAGACAGACAGACATACATTCATGATCATAGTGACTATAAAAACAATAAAAGGTATTATTATCGCAACGAATTCATCATTAACTTAGATAGACAACTAATAATAATACAATCATATCAAATAAATGTATCACTTAATCTTAAGAAGCATGTGTTTACTTACTTTGACTGTATTCTCTCAATACTGATGTGCTCAACCAGCTTATTCCAACTGAATTCAAGATTAATTCCGAAAGTGAGTGGAGATCCAGCTTATGTCAAACAAAAACATGCAGCTTACACGTATTACACTGCTTACTGAGACATCTGATACCTGCTTTCCTTTCTTCATGACAAGAACACAGATTATCTAGGTTTACCTACATATACATAAGTATACGTATATGCTGCATCAAACATGCCTTTTTATCATGATTAACCAGACCAATGTGTATATTATACTTATCTAAGGATCTCTGAAAATGATGGTCAAGCGATAATTGAAACTGCGTGAAGTTATTACCTTTTCAGAACAATGTTTGCATTCTTAAGAATGCAAACAATGCAAACAACAACTTCTCAGGAGTGTCAATTGACACTCCTGAGAAGTACTTAGGGCATGAATTCGTTGAATTTAGCAGAAAAATCCATTTCTATATCCTCCCTCTCTTGGGCTGTAATAGTCTGTGTTATCAGATATCTATCTAAATTGGTAAAACGCTCCCGGAAATTCAGCACTTAACCAAGCAGAAAAATCATGTTTAAAATTACCTCAACTAGAATGACAAACTGGCCAATCACGAGCGAGCGAATCGCTTGTTTATCTCAATCGCGGTCACTCAAAATTACGGCCGTCGACAGGCTGCCTACAATTTACTGCATCAGTTGTTGAGTTAACTTGAAAATCAGACACTGTCCGTCTATTTACTGGAAATTTAATCACAATCATTTCCTTTAAAACCAGCATTATGACTCACTACTCTTTTTTAAGATACAATATTAATTCTGGAAATGATCATTTGGATTCAAAATCCTTTTTAGCCATAATCCACCCACTAGGAGGTGTAGTGACCTACTATGAGCAAATTAGCTGCAATCTTATTCTCCAAGTTGACTAAATCAGTATGCTATCCATCATAATAATTTGAATATAGGCTTCAAATTCTAAGAGTAAGGAGTAAAAGACAACTCTTCATACTTGGTTCACAAAGTTCGCACTCTGAAGAAGTAATTATTGAAGAAAAAATCAAAGTGACTCGAGTTAGAAAGTCATTTTACTTTGTCGTCTGTATCATGCTTGGGATACACAGTGCACTCCAAGGATTTCAGACCTGATGCTAGTCGTTTGGCACCTCTAGTCCAAGCACCTTCACCCAATAATATGTCGCCTTCGAGATCATGGATAGGTACTCTTCAGTTTTACTCCAGATTAGTTCCCAATTTCACTTAACTGTCATCTTCACTTTTGATATTGTCTTCAGTCAACAATTTGAGTGGGAACAACAACATGAAGATATCTTGCAGAGAACTATGAAGTTTCTTAATATACAAACTTTCTTAAGACCTGTGTTGTCGGGAAATAAGCCTATTTTCACCACAGATGCTTCTCCTGTGGGTAGCTGAAGTACTTGAGCAAAATGGACAACCTCTTATTTGTAAGTAAAAGTTAACAAGGGTGCTCAAAAATTCAGAAAGAGACTCTAGCAGTTGTGTGGGCAGTAAGACTCCTGCACGAGTATTTCCTTGGTACTAAGTTGCATACAGTTACTGATTATCAGGCTTTGGAATTCATTCGCAATAGATCATCATCTGAAATTTAGGACTGTGTGCATGATTGCACTATTGAACACACATTGGTTAGGAATATGCCTGAGGTAGACTTCTTATCACGTCATTCACTAGATGAAAATTCTCATAACGACAATAACTGTTGCTTAGTCTACCCGTTAATTGTGGATAGAGTTCGAATTATGCACGATACTTGGAGATATTACGGGAGCATTATAAATGCAAAAAAGGTTAAAATATTCAGTGTAAAGGAAGATCTCCAGACTTTTATCAGCAAGGAGATGAAATACCAGTTCATCATGAAGGATTCCTGTGTCTGAGTGACAGAATTATTATTCCTCCAACCTTAACATCTGCGATTTTGGATGCTCTACATTCTGCTCATCTAGGAGCTGATAAGATGAAATCATTAGCATGCCTAACATGCTGGTGGCCAGAAACTGATGCTGACATTAGCAAAAGATCAAAGAGCTGTTCTAGCTGTTTACATAAAATGTCCTATGGAAAGACATCGTGGACACCGTGGCCTGCGTTTTGTGACCTTTGGCAGCGTATTCGTGCAGATTACTGTGGTCCATTCTTAAATTCATATAATGCTTTAGTTATCGTGAATTCTTATTCTAGACTGCTAGAAGTCATAACTAAAGATAGTCATAATGCCAAATTCACTAACAGAGCGTTGAGAAAGATTTTTAGTCGAGAAGGAATTCCAGATGTCTTAGTTACTGACAATGGTACTCATTTTACGGGGAAGAACTTCAATGATTGGCTCAAACATATAGGTTGTCGTCATTTGTACACAGCACCACGTCATTCTCAGTCTAACGGGTTGGCGGAAAACTACGTATGAACATTGAAGAGTGCCATAGCATCAATAAGTCACGAATCTTGACGAGCTAGAGATGTGTAGATAACTTCTTACTTCACTATGGCAATGTGGAGCCTCCAAGTACTCATGAAAGTCTTTCTAAGCTATTCAAATATCTAATTCTTCGAACTCATCTGATGTCCTCGACTTCTAATGTACATTATTACAGAGGGAATGATTATAGACCTTCTATTGGTATCATACTACAAAGAATGGGAAACTGAATGGTGAAGATATTAGACATCGAATATAATTCATTTCATAACAGACACTTTGATCAAGTGAGAATAAATGAGTTAGGTCGTTCCGATGATGACTATAATGACTCCGCTACTAATTCTGACTTTGTAGATAATTCAGAAATAAGTTCAAATAATACTGATGAAAATAATATCACAGAATCAGATAGAAGATGGCAGAGACTGGCAAGCCAATCTCGATATCAGTATAAATACGCAAGGAGACATTCGACATACGGCAAATGTGGTGATTAAATATTTCTATCTCTGTATTGTTTAAATACTTACTGTTGATTGTTAATATTTCTTATATGAATTGGGTTAGAATTCCGCTAAATACAAATTCCTGAATTCCGCTCTCTCTGTGTTTTGGTTGGATTCTTGTAATTCGGTCATCTCGAAATACTAATACTACGATTAAAATTAATTACAACATACTTATTGTTGTTTGTTAATATTTACTATATGAATTACAAATATTACCGCCTAAACGAATTCCTTAGTTGATTGCTCTCTGTGTTGTTAGTTGATTTCCTGTAACTTGGTCATTGCGGAATACTATTTCAAATAACTACTGCAAACATATAAAAAGTGAATGAGATGTGATCAAAATACTTTGGTTGAGTGCCACCTAAATTTGTTTAAAAGGCTATGGTTTTCTGGGGATGTATTTTAAGTTAATAAATTTTCTCAAAGCTCGTAGTATTTTATTCCAAATTTCGTATTCCTGATTAGTGTTGAATGAAATGTTTTGCTTTTCGCTATATCATTCATATTAACTTTATCCCCCAAAAACAACACTTATTCGAAGGCGAACCAACTTCCTATTGTTCTGCCAATTATTATTCCTTCGAATTCTGAAATACAAAAACAATATAACTTTTTTGGAGCTTAAGTGAAAGCATGACATTTGTTGTTTACGGCATTACATAGATTGCTGCGGTATACATAAGCAACGCAAATAAATGAAAAGCTCATAAGTTGACTACATTATGCTGTCCCTTCAATAATTCGCCAAGAAGGAACTATACTATCCTCTGAAATTAGTTCATCGTGGAGTACTTGTGTCTCTCAAACACACAGATATTTGTCGTATTGTTATACAACTTCATAAATCGATTTTTGATGCATTGCATTCCTAAGGTAACATTATCAGACTTTTAATTTATGTAATTTATTCTGTGTATGAACTTGAAAGTGGTCTAAGTATACCTATTTCCATGAAAAGTTGCGAAGTAAATGTAAAGCCTTACTTGAGAGTGGATCAAGAAATTGGTCTAAATCAGAAGGAAGATTATCAAAGTATGTGTCTTAGAAAAGAAAATATTTGACACGAATCCAAAACGTGGCGAATCTATAATATTCATGATACAAGAGGTTGACAAATACTTTGAAAACTGGTCTCGAATTGTGGATGCAATAGGTCGAAAAGCTGCAGACAGAAAACTTTTAAGTATACCACGCCGCGTTAAACAATTATGGCGAATAAATAGACAAAAACTCGTCACTGAAAATAGGGTACTAACCTTTACTGTTTAAGCCGACTTGTTTGGCTGAAGCCTTGTAGTCGACCATCCACACCGTTTGGCACCCTGTTGTGTTACGCCCGATTATTTGTGCATTGTCCCTAGCTAGTTAAGTAATCATCCTCCCACCCCGATTTCGGTCCCAAAACATAGTTCGCATTTTGGATGACCGATATGGTGTTTTGCTGTGTCTTTTCTATGAGAAACGAATGTTATAGGAGTTGTGGTTACGAGATCTTGTGTTCGTATACACCGTACTATCCGTGAGCCCCAACACCCCTAGTCTCTAAACTGGTTAGCCCCATGCGAAATTCATCTTTGGGAAACTTGGAGGCGAAGCCGGTGGGTTCCTCCCATTCTGTATTTTTTCTTGGGTTATATATCATTTTAGTTAACGTACGCCTAAGCACATCTATATCCACCCAACCAGCACCACTATTCAGCTGGCAACATTTCGGCCAAATAATGCAGATGCATGAATTTTGAGGGCTGAGTCCAGCTTTAGTGGAAATGGAATCACTGACTGACGTTCACAGTTCCTTGCAGTTATCCATGCTCTGCTGCGGGAAGTAACCAAATGCGTTGTTGCGCCAGTACGCAGCCTAGAGGTAGGTAACCGCCATCCCTAAGAGGTCCTCCTTAAGAGAAACGCCTCATACCTGCAGCGTCTAGGCGAAGTTTTCCGGAGTGTCGAGTTACGTGATCATTCAGCCTTGTACATGTTAGCACGAATGAGGGAGTTTATTTACCAGCGTCATTTCGGTGAATGACTCCTTAGAGTTGTTTCTGTCTAAAATCTTAATTCCAGTGAAAACGGTACTCCTGTCATCGATGATTTAGCAAATTCAAAAGATGGAATTCTAGAAATATCACAATGGCCAGTCACTCAAATGTTGTTGATCAGTAAACGGTCTTCGAGGAGTGACAGTGAAAAGACAGAGTTGTGAGAATCTCCTAAGCGACAACTTAGACCGAACAGCTCCCATATTTCCCACTACTGTCGACGGAAATCTCTTTAACATGGAAACTCATATGGTTGAAATCCGAAAAAAGTCCCAAAAACCCAACTGGTTTTCATACCATAATACCCACGGCCATAAAGCTGAATGTTGCCGAAAACCCCGCAATACTTGCAACGAGTCTGTGACTATGTGAAACTATTCCTCAAGCTTGCGTTCACGACAACCGTCTCTCGTGGCAGTAGCCGCCTACTGTTCATCCGTGATGTAGTCAACCACACCCGATAGATGGTCGACACAGCCGCAGAAGTGAGCGCCCTCCCTCCCACGGGGGCAGAATGACAGAAGGAACCTGTTTTCAACTTACGGGCTGCGAATGGAAAGCCTATTGCAGCCTGTGGTAGGAAATACGTCTATCTGAGCGTAGGTTCAGTGGATTTGCATCCTCGCTGACGTCACAATGCTACCATAGGCAAGGAACCACATAGCCCTAATTATCTACACCTAGGTGTCTGCCAACAACTAGACAGTCCAATAAAGGCATCGACCACGTTAGTCACAGCCTGATAATGGTTAAGAAGAAGGCCATCTTCGATCTAGCTTTCCAGCCGATTGTTGAGCAGTAATCAGAACTTAAACGCCTGCATAACGATCTATCGTGCCTAATCAGCAATGGAATGCATCAGATCCTAAACTCAGGGCAACCCCTGACGCCCAAAGCACGATACTTGTTCCTGACAGCCTACGGCTTGCTAGAAGTGGATTCAGCTGTGTGATCACTGTCAGTGTAGTTGAAGATTGAACGATCAATTCATGGTTGTTTGCTCAAAACCAACTTCCCCAATTTTCGCGGAGGCATCAATACGACAGTCATCGTCTCATCGGTCGCTGTTCAGAAAGAAGTCAGCAGTAAACCATCAGAAGTAATCTTGTGATTTATTATTGTAATATTTGTTCACAGACCTTAGTTGTAACAGTGTTTATATGTTGGTGTTACAATAAAGAATCCTCGAGTCAACAATTGGTGTTTTGGTTTTTGCGTCCGTTATTACTAAGCGTTTCTGAGAAACTTCAAGGAACAGCGTGAGCCCGAGTGCAGCAAGAGCTGGGCATTAACGGTTTATGAGATGTGGCTGACAGTTTCTGACGGTGAAGTCAGTTTCTGACGGCGGAAACATTTTCTGACGGATTCAGATAGCTGGTGACAGTTTGGATAGTCACCATTCATCTTTCCTGGTGCCGGTAAAGTCTTCTTTGAACAAGCAATATCATAATAATAATAGTATATTCTCATTTTGTACATGAGGGACGCCAGTTTACAGGCATCATCAATATGATAAATTACATATACGATTAGCAATCATACTTAATAATAATGTTTTGATAAAATACACATTTTTTCCTACCTGTGTAGGACACATCAAATGCACAGGCATGGATCAGCATTATTTAAATTTCATAAATTTGGTTTATAGTTAAATTACCTGGTTGCTGACGTTTCTGTCTTTGGTTTGTGGGAACAATATGATAACCAGTCATTCAATGGAGCACATCATGAAATATAGAAATATTGTCTTCGCATTAACAAAAAAACCCAAGTATGTTTTGGAAGGATTACAAATACTTTGGAAAAAATAAAGCTTGAAGTAATCCTGAATCTCATTTTTGATTTATATCCAAATTGGGTAATAAGAAAGCTATTTTTACAGATACGATCAGTTATGTTATAAGTTACAATCGTGACGTTGTATTACAAATTGATACTTTTCCATTGGTATAAGAGTATATTCCACAAATGTAATCCAGGTTGCGTCGTGGGGAAAGTTAATTCGTTATTAGCTAGGCAAATGAAAGATACGGGACCAATAATGTTTGCAGATCATTTGTCATTGTAAGTAGTCAAACATCCACATTATTCATTCTCATTCAAAAAGTCCAATGGAAGCTAAAATAGTGAGAGAAAAAAGAAGACAAACAACAACAAAGCAAAAGAAAGCAAGAGGAGTCCTTAAGGAGCGATTAATAAATACACGCATATATATTCTGTCTAGTAACTATGGTTATTTTTGTTCACTAACTAACACAGATTAAGCCAATAAAGGACGACAATGGAAAGTCAATCACCAAAGAGGTGGAACAGAGAAAGCACTGGGTTGAACACTTCAAAAGACTTCTAAATCGTCCGCCACCTACAACACGTCCAGCAATACCAACAACGGAAGCAGAACTACCAGTGAACACTGACCCCCCGACGAAATCAGAAGTCCTGAATGCAATCAAGATGCTTAAAACTGGGAAAACACCGGGACCAGATGGAATCCCAGCAGAGGCTTTGAAAATAGACCCAGAGACAACAGCGGACTTGATGACACCACTACTGGAGAAGGTGTGGAAAGAGGGCAAAGTACCCGAGGATTGGAAGAACAGTTACTTATTCAAACTTCCAAAGAAAGGAGACTTAAGTCAATGTAAAAACTGGCGGGGAATTATGCTTCTGTCCATTCCAAGCAAGATACTAAGTCGCATCATCCTGGAGAGAATCAAACAAGCCCTAGATGAAAAACTTCGTCCGGAACAGGCTGGATTCAGGAGAAACAAATCATGTATTGATCAAATCGCCACTCTACGGATCATCATTGAACAAAGCTTGGAATGGCAGTCACCTCTCTATCTCAACTTCATCGACTTTGAAAAGGCCTTCGACAGCGTCGATCGAGAGGTCATTTGGAAACTACTTCGCTACTACGGGGTCCCATTGACAATTATACACCTCATCCAACAGTTATACGACAATGCTGCATGCCAAGTAATCCACAACGGGAAACTTACGGAAGCCTTCGAAGTGAGGACGGGAGTGAGGCAAGGCTGTCTACTATCACCAATGATCTTCCTGATTGCAATTGATTGGATAATGCGACAGACAACGGCAACCAACGAGGGAACAGGCATAAAATGGACTGACACAAAAGACTTGGAGGATCTGGATTTCGCCGATGATATATGCCTGATTTCCCATAAACTGGAAGATATGCAAATGAAAAGTAACAAGTTGGCAGAAGAAGCATCAAAGATAGGACTTCACGTGAACATAGATAAAACAGAGGTGATGAAGATTCCTTGCCAACATCAACAGCAACAACAGACCACAATAAGCATAAATGGGAAGAACCTGAAAGAAACAACCTCCTTCACCTACCTGGGAAGCATCGTCTCAACTACAGGCGGAACTGACGAAGACATCAAAGCCAGAATCGGAAAAGCAAGACAAGCTTTCATTACTCTCAAATCTGTGTGGAGGTCAACAGCAATCAGCATCAAAAATAAGATCCGGATTTTCAACTCCAATGTGAAGTCAGTGCTACTATACGGATCAGAGACTTGGCGAGTCATAAAGAGCATCTCAAACAAACTTCAAACCTTCATTAACAACTGTCTCCGCTCAATACTCAAGATCAGATGGCCAGAAAAGATCAGCAACAGGGATCTCTGGGAGCGAACCAATCAGGAACCGATTGTGAAACAAATAGGCAGAAAGAAATGGAGATGGATTGGCCATACGCTGAGGAAACCAACAAGTGACATCACTAGACAAGCCCTCGTGTGGAACCCGAAAGGGAGGCGGCGAGTTGGTCGTCCAAGGGTGACTTGGAGGAGGTCATGTGAAGAGGAGATGAAAGCATGTGGGCAGACCTGGAGCAGGGTGAAAAAGTTGTCAGAAAACCGAAGTCAATGGAGGT